CCAGTGCCTGGCAGAGCTTGGCTGCATATGAGAAATGTGCTTAGCAGGTGGAGACACCAGGAGGAGCAGCGGGGCCACCCAGCCTCACACTTCTGCTTCCTTGGCTGGTTTATGTTATGGATGTATCACTGTGGGAGGATAACTGTTACTCAGTAGACAGTCATAAGTCACAACATCTTCAGGCTCCAGGCTCCTGATAGTGAGAGAAAAATCTGTCCCATATCCACTGCCGCTGAACCTTGATGGGACCCCAGGTTGTAAACTGGATGCATCATAGATCAGGAGTTGAGGAGCTTTCCCCTGATTTCTACTGATACCAATGTAACCATTTCTCAACATCCTCACTGGCCCGACAACTGATGGTGACTGTGTCTCCCTTAGATGCAGGTGAGGAGGATGGAGGCTGGGTCATTGGGTGTCACATCTGGCACCTGATAATAGAATCATAACAAATATCAGCACAGTTAATCATGATATAACACCTCCTTGAAAGGCCAGGCAGCACTAACCACACGGTGCTGAGTAAGTCCCCAGGCTGTCTCTTACCTGGCAACCAGAGCAGCAGGAACCCCAGGAGCTGAGCGGGGACCCTCATGTCCATGCTGTGTCCCGACTGGGACTGGGTCCTGCACAGGGTGTGACAGCCTATGAAGAAGTCCTCAGGGCCTGGGCTGTGCTCTGGGACATGCAAATCAGCAGGGTGAGCAAGGCTCTGGGCAGCTGCTGGGCTGCCTCATCTCTGTAGAGTCCTAGTGTCCCCTGGTGTCCCTGTTCACACATGAGCAGCACAGATTTGCCTTCAGAACATGTTTCTTCCTTGGGGCACAGGGGAGAATCAGGCTGTTCTCCCATGGATAGAGTAAACTATTGTTCTTTACACATTTTGGAACACACTTGGCTTGAGTTCCTTAACTAGTGCTCTATGTGACAGACTCTTGAGAAGGAGGAATTTAGCAAAACAAGGGGCTGCTTCAGGAATAGGATATTTTAAAGAAAATGGAGACAGGAAGTCACTAGAATCTATAAATCATTGAACTTGTCTGGGTTCCTGTACTTGTGATCACATCAGAACTAGATGGCAGGAGAAGACACGACCAAATGTGGTTTCTAGTCCTTCATATTTGAAACTCCCACAAAATACAGAGGAGGAGCACATAACTTTGCCTGTCTTCCAGTAAAGAGCCAGGTTCTTGGTCTTAATTTGCTTCTCTAGAAACCTTAGAATAGCTTTAGAGGACAAGAGCAGAAACCATGGCAATTGTTCAAACCATAAACAGAAGTCTCTGAACACAATTCAGAGTCTCTGAATTTTAGAGACTCTAGAATTGGTACAAAACCTTAGAGACAATAGCAAGGAATCAAATTCTTTACTCCTGGTGTGCCACACAGAATTGTCAGTGTTGGTCATAATGCCTCAGGGTCTCAAGAGGGCTGCACTGTGTCTAAGCCTCAAGTATTTTTCTAATTGTTTCAGGAAAATTCAGGCAAATCTTTTCACTTGCCCTATTTTGAAATCTTCCCTAGTACTTGTCCATCGTTTTGATGTCTCCTGCACCTCACTTCTGAGATGGTTGCATCATTGTGCAAATCCCTGCTCCTGCCCTGGGCTGCAAGAGGCTCATCTGTGCTTACCAAGCACAGCAGGTCAGAGCCTGTGCTTAATCAAATAAAGGAAAGAGGAGACGGCTGCTGTGAACACGTTACATTTTTAAAAGGCCCATTTTAAAGTTTCCCTGTGCCTCTAACTTATACTGAATGGAGAAGAGAGATCTGAAGGAAAACTTTATCTGCTGGCATTGGAACCAGCAGGACCAGGACAAAAATGAAGATAAATCTACTTATCCAAGTGGCAACGCTGGTTTTACAACGTGTGGGAAGGGGGCCTAGGAATTCAAAACCAGGAGAGCTTCCAGCCTGGAACAAAATGGAGAGATTTGCAAACCAGTTTTTGAAATCAGGGCTAAGGTCAACATTGCTGTGCTGAGAGCTGTTGGGCTCTCGCCCTGGCTGTGGGGAGGCAGCATGGGTCAGGGACCCTGCCCATGGCGCTTACTCCATTCCCAGAGTCTTGACTCACTCAGCATTTGTTCTGCTTAGAAGGACGAAGAGCATGTGTTACACAAATAAATATGTAAATCTGATGGTTTGTCTGCATGTCCCCCCAAATCCTCATGCAGTCATATGTCAGGCTTCTAGACTTTTCATTGATCCATAGTCCACTGCTGGGATTATGGGTGTGAGTGCTACACCTGCCCTGGGGCGAGTAGTTTGCATACAATATAAGGGAGGGAAAGAGGCTGCTTGTCTCCATTCCTCCCTTTTGCCCTTGCTGCTTTTGCTGTCTTCTGCCACCATGAACTGTTGCCCTCTGCCATGTGCCACTCTGCCTTGGAGCCAGCCAAGTATGGACTGAAACCTCCACCAACTGTGGGCTAAATAAACCTTTCTTTCCTTAATTTTGGGCATCAGGTATTTTGTCTCAGCAACGAGAGAAAAGGAAGACACATACTTCTCTCCAATGCTTATTGCTTTATTTAGACTTTCTCTTCTTAAGTCACTTTCTTTAGTTGGTTTCCTAAAGAGGTATCCCTGGGTTTCAGGGGGTCCTTTTAGCCTGAGAAGAAGACAGACACAGTAAATGCTTGCCTGTACTTTTTCCAGATATTGGAGGCTCCAGAAATATAATCCTAACACACATTGTAGGCTTAGGTTTGTGTTGACAGATATACTTTTTGGGTTCTTCATAATTTTTTATTGAGTTTACTTACTAGATAACAAATAAATATCCTGATAATGAACTACAGCGTAAGTTGTGTTCTCCACATTTTTGACCAGCTGAAATGTTTTCACTTCACTTAGGCATACACATGGATTGTATTCCAAATAAATTTTTGCATATAGAAAATGTTATATAGGGTATAACATCTTATTAAAAATAAAATTAATCAGAAGAATACTTTCCAAGATTCCAGGCCAAGTGGAAAATCACCTTTTAGTACTAAATTTACCTTCATTTTCCATACTGCTCGGGCACACATACATCTGAGCATGTGCCACAGGCTTTAATCATGGTAACGCTCTGGCCTCTGGGCTGCCAGCAGGTGCCCTAATATGAGTTTTGCCTTCTACTTTTGGGGGATCAACTCAAGCCTCAAAGCCTTCCTCAGCCCCACACTTTCTGAACCCCTGCTGCTGAACACTGGAGTTCAATAACTTCCTCATTACTTTAATCATTGTTTACGATCCCCACGACTGCTGTGACCACATCGCAAAATAAAATGGGAGTAGTATGGCACCTGCCCTTCCAAAACCACCACTTGAAACATACAATGTCCCCCTCTACCTTTTGCCACACGCCTGGCACAAACCAAGCACAGCTACGGTGCTATGTGCCTATGTACACCAGCACTCTGCTCACACATTCACATGCACCCACAGACACATGCTTGAATCACACACACTCACACTTACTTTCACACATACACTAGGTCACTCCCATTCAGATTCACAGGGACTCTCACCTCCTTTCTTTGGGTTCCAGAGGAGGTTCTGCAGGAGGTGTGGGCCGTGAGGTGCTGTGGTGAGGTGCTATGGTGAGTTGCTGTGGCCGTGCTCAAGACAGAGACCTAAGGAGCAGGCCTGAAGCCCCAACTCCATGACTTGGGATATTCAGAAGTCTCTGGGCCTCCTACTTCCACAATGGTCTGCATGGCTGAGACGGCCTGTGGCCTCTTGCTGGTTCCAGGGTCTTGAGCTGTGTTCTCAGGGCTATTCCCTCCAAATGGGGAGCAATGACCGATTCTGCCTGCAGAGGTAGAGACTGGGGGAACCTGGAGTCTGAGAGACTGGGGGAACCTGGAGTCTGAGAGACTCCTCTGGAGCATATAGGGACTACGGACAGGCCAGAGTCCAAGGCCTTCCTGTACCTGGCTGCCTTCCTCCTCCAAATTCACTTCTCCCATCTCTTTACTGGCCCTGAGCTCTCAGACCATTTCCCACTGCTACCTGCAGAACTCACTGTTGACTGAGGGCACAGCCTGGTCTAGGATTGGCCCCAAGCTCTGGATTGAGCAATAGGATCGCTGTCTTAGTAAGTGGGCAATTGAGTCTTTTCTTTCTTTTCTATGTTTCCTTAAAAATCCAAGCTCAATGCCCCCACATGGAGAAAGCCTGCTGAAATCCCATTGCCTAAAACTCAGGTTCCATTCTAACTCCAAAAATCTGGATCAAGAGTAGCTTGATCCACACCAGTGCTGGTCCACAATGGTGCTGGTCAACCCAGGCAGGCTGACCTCAGGAGAGAGCGCAGCTCAGAACAGGGAGAGAAACAAGGCTTTTCCTTAGGGCAAGAACCCAAATTCTGTACAGCTGACTAAAGTTGAAGTGTGAGACTGTAGCTACAGAGACATTGAGCTCTAGGTCCTGTGTTATAATTCTGACACCATCCCTAGTACTGCGTGTGAGATGCTGGGGAGGTGATCTCCTTTCTCTCACCCCTATTTCTATTTGACTGAATGACGAGATTGATAAGTTCCTGGGAGCCGTACATTCCTGGACTCCCTGATACTCTTTTGGGAAAGACCTGAAATTGTAAAATGAGAGTGGTAGGTTTAGGAAGCTCCCTGTGGGAGCTGAGACCAAGTAGATAAGGGACATCTCACCTGTCCATTCATGAAACCCCACATGCTGAGTTACTGCAACACCTAAGCACATGGTAAGAGGGAAAACAGACACCTGGCATGGTGAATCTACTGCTAACTGCCTCCTAAGTGTTGCTTGTGCATGTTGCTCACCACGTTATCAAACCCAAGCACCTCATCATCCTTTCATAGAGGACTCAAGCAGGGCAGAAGGCAATTAAGGTTCACACCCACCTGGGCATGCTTCCCTACCCTGGCCTGGGGTTCTGGCCTGCTGGATCTCCCAGGGTGTCCTGTGGGATCTGGGTAATGGAGCCCAAGCAAGCCTACCATCTCTTGCCTAGATTGTAACTATGCACATGGACACACTGTCCCTATGGCCACTCATTTCAACAGAGCAGTTGATTTGGGTTCCTGCTTTTATAAAGTTGAATCTACATCTGTCAGGTGGTAACTCTCCCTGTCCCAGCTCAGAGGGCATTAGGTCCCCCCAGCTGACCATCTGTGGAGGGGTGGTGCTGGCCTTCTGAAGAGCTGCCCCAGGTGGGACCAGAGTCAGGGCACAGTAGCAGAGCAGATCCAATCAGTCACAGTCCTGTGGTCGAGTCTGCTGTCATCTGGAATGAGCTCAGGTCCTCAGAATTGGCCACAGCCTGCGTTAACCCTCTTGCTCTCTGTCACAATGTAGCTGGAAGAAACTTTGGTCATGCAGACTTCCCACAGAGCATCACAGATGCAACCCTATATGGATGACATCATGCTGGTTACATAACAGGATATTAGCATGAATCTGGGCATCTAATGAATACACAACTGCTGCAGAGAGTGAGACTTACATCCTATGCGAACGCATGAACCTGTACATTGGAGAAGATGTCAGTTTCAGAAGTCTGAGGCATGCTGGCTCATCCTCTTCAGGAGAAGGACAACTAGTTGCACTTTGCACCTCAAATACTGAGAAGGAAGAACCATGTTAGGTGGAGTCTCTATTGCACTGGTGGGACACTTTTCACACCTGGGCCAACTGCATCTCACTTTACATCATCTGTAAAAATCAACTAAAGTGCATGAAATATCTAAATAGAAGACATAAAATTATAAAATACTTTTAAGAAAGCCTTGAGTAAGACCTTCATTACATTAGATTTAGAAAGTTTTGCACAGATATGCACAAAATCAGACAACAGATTAAAAAGTAGACAAATTTGACTTTATTAAAATTCAGTACTTTAGTGCATCAAAGCATGCCATTAAGAAAATTAACAGACATACAAGTACTGCACTGAATAAAGTATTATAAAATCGTATATCCAAGAAGTAGTTCCTAACCAGAATATATAAATAATTCCTGAAGTTCAACAACAAATGTATATGGGTTATGGACTTCAGTATTCATTTTTCCAAAGAGCGTTGTAATCCAGCATGGACAATGCATCTAAAAGTGTACTTTGACTTAGTACAATTGTCTTAGATGTTTTGTATGTTCTATGGCCTATTTGTCTGGTTTTCAATCTGTATAAATGTTAATTAACTTTATAAGGTCTCATGAATGAATGAATCTGATGCTGGAAAATAAAAGGGTGGTAGAGAGGGGGAAAAATGAGGAGTTGAAATGTGTTATGTGCATGTACCAGTCCCCGACACGGATGAGATCATTATGTACTGCAAAGGTGTACTAACAAAAGGAAAAAAAGAAAGAAGATATAAAAAGTGTTCATCAGCAAATAAAAAATGTTCAGTCTAACAACTCATTAAGGAAATAAAATTCAAAACCACAATGAAACAGTACTCCACACCTAACACTAACTCTACAGTTACAAAATCAGCAGTGCGACTGAAGCTCGAGAGAAATTGCAAACATGTGCATTCCTAGTGGGAAAGGAAAACAATGTGGTTTCTATGAAGGACATTCTGCCAGTTAATCAAGTTGTTAAATGTAAAACTACCATAAGGCTGAGCAATTTTACTCCTCCTAGGTATACACTCAAAAGAAGTGAAAGCAGGGACTGAGAGCAGTGTGGATGGTTGCATACTTGTGTTCATACCACCATTACTTAGAGTATCTAAATGGGGATTGAGAATCAGTATGTGTATTTTCAGCCAGAGAACTGTAAAAGCTCCTATACCTCCTTGATCCATTGGTTGCACTAAAGAGACAGTGTTTGGAGAAAGAATTGCCACTTTCATATGGGGATGAAGAGTACCAGTAAACGAAGATGTGCAGGGCACAGTCACCAAGGAGGACAATTCTGAAGGGACATTATTGTGAGAACAGCACTTCTCCATTTCAATAGCATAGCTACCCAGCAGGCACCTTGGAAGAGAGCAGGACTCTCCACAACATTATCATGCCTGTAGTACGCCGGCACTGTGTGCTTATTAACACACTTGAAGATCCAGGGTTTCAAGATCACAAGGGTTTCAGTTTTGCCCTCAAAACTGACCACAACCTTGCCCCAAACAAGATTACTTGTCTCTCCTTTAAAGCACTGAAATCTGGCATGGACTTGCATCTTTATGTGTGAAAGTCATTTTAAGAATCTCTTCAGAACACTGAGAATTTGCTCTGGCAAATAATGGTTCTCTACAGTCAGCATCTCTGCAGCTTCCAAAAGTCATTCAGCTGCCTTCACCTAATCCTTAGAATCCTTCAGAGTGATCATCCTACTGAAGTCCATCCTTTCCTCTGAAAACTGCAAACACACTTTGGGATTTGACCACGATTGTTGTGGCAGTGAGAGGGATACAATTCTGAGGCTGGCCTTCAATCTAAGTCCTTAGCGGCTTCTCAGTATCTGAGACTGGCCCTTATCAAACTTTTGCGGCTCCAGGTGTTTTCAGTGACACAGCTTCTGTCACTTGTCTTCTGTTCCAAAAGGTCATAGCTCTGGTGGGATGGGACAGGCCTGACCAGCAATTAACAACTCTCAGTGACCTCTGTGGTACTTAATCACTTTTAACTTTGTTTCCACGTCAGTCTCCTGACATAGCTTCTTACTACCAACACTTGCAGTGGATTTTGCATTCTTAGGAGTCGTGACAAAGAAAATAGTATGAATTATACATCAAGGATGAGAGAAAATGATACAGTCAGTGTGAGGTAAAGAAGAGATGTGTGGGGTTGCTGCTGGAGTAACACAGCATGTTATTTACAGGGAGCTTTTAAATAAGTATAAAGATCACTATCTATAATAATGACCTGATGTATAGTATAAAAACACATAAACCAGTAACATAATCATTTTATGATAATTATTAAGTACTATATGCTATAGGTAATGATATGACTGCCAGTGGTAGGTTTGATTATCCCACTATCACCACAAATGCATGAATAGTGCACTGTCTTGTGGCACTGACTACAGTATCCCTAGGTGATATGAATTTTCTGGCTCCCTTGTGATCCCATGGAACCACGGTCATAGATGTGATCTGTCATTGGCTAAAACATTAAGCAGCACATGACTATATCCTACAATATGTTTTCACCTTATAAATTATCCTTGATAGAATATTTCACAGAAGAAAGCACATTGTGTGACTCACTTATCTTAGATTCCTAGAACACAGGAAAAACTGTGAAGAAAGAAGTGGAATAGGTGACAGTAGGGAATGGAGAGAGGGGAAAGCGGAAGATACAGAGCATGAAGGAGAGTTAAAGAGTACTTTCCTCCTCTCAGTGATCTGAGAAGCAATTGTATAAAATATGCGTGTAATTGTACCTTGGCCCCATAACATGGAGAAATAGAACACATTTGTCAATCAGAACACAGACAGAGTTGTATTGGAGGAAGGAGAAGACACCAGACAGTAACTCAGTTCTGCGTAAAAAAATAAGAACCATAAAGGATAAATTAGAATGTTGATAGGATTAACTAAAAGAACTACATAAACATATGCTTATTTCTTTTATTTGTCAATTTCTTTATACATATAAAATTATATTAGACAGAAATTCTATTGTGAGGTTTCTATAACATACATAGCTATATATAGCCACAATAATACAAAATTAAAGTAGAAGAAACTGAACAAGAATAACATTTCTATGTCTGATTCCAAATAGAACAGCATAAATATGAATTATCCTCTTATGTTTGATATGGTAAATCATAGGTGGCAATTCTAAGAAAATAACTTCTATAGTGAAAATGAATACATTTATCATAAATAAATTGCATCTCATACATTGAGCAGTACAAAACCCAAGACAATGAAGAGACGAAAAGACTAAAGGAAAAAGCACCTCCCTGTTCAAGGATGTAGAGTCACAGCCAATTTTGGAACAGCAGCCATCAAATAATAAATGGCTGTTTCACAAGTGCTGCTCCTTCTAATGTACTTTATACTCACAACATTTTTTTCCGAGGCTCCTGTAAATACATTTTCAGATTAGCACAAAGAAATCTAATCAAAGGCAAGCATAGTGGCAGAGGTCTGTAATCCCAGCACTGGGGAGGCTGAGGCAGGAGGATCATTGCAAGTTCAAGACCAGCCTGGGCTACAAAGTGAACTCAAGGCCAGCCTGAACTGCATTGCAAGACCCTGTCTCAACAAGGACAAAAAAAACAAACAAACACACACAAAAAACCCTAATCAAAATTGGTGAGTCTAGGGGCTGGGGATTTAGCTCAGCCGCAAAAAGCGCCTGCCTGGCAAGTGCAAGGTTGTGAGTTCAGTTCCCGGTACCGGAGAAAAACCAAAAAAAAAAAAAATTGGTGAGTCTATCAACAGATCCTCTCAGTGGATAATTTCTCAAATTATCAGGAGGATTAAAACTGATAAGAAGCCTGAGTTTCACTAATTTTAAGAAGAGGGTGATTGTCATACTTTTATCTCTTGTGCTGGCAGAGGAGTGGATGCAGCAGGAGCAGTGATGTAGGAGGAGAGAGGGAAGTTAAGGGCCGTGGGCGACAGAACCATCTGTTCACCCAGTGACCTCATAGAGAACGCCTTGTCCTACAGCAGACACCTGCTTCCTTGGGGGCTGTTCTCTCGGAGACAGCGGAGTCTCATCATCTTTAATTCGCTGAACTTTAAGGTTTCTTTGTAGCGAGCAGTGTGATGATCCTCTGAGTCTCCCGTGTATCCCCTTTCAGTTGTATGGAATCCCTCGTTTTTCATGATTTTGACCCCCTTTGAGAACTGAGCACCTTGTATGTGTTCTGCTACTGCACCTCACCAGCTTAAGTCTTAATCTCACATCAGGTATCATAGCAGAAGCTTGAGGTAAACTTTATGCTGTCCATCTTTCCTTTTGTCCTTCTAAATTTCAAAGCCCATATTTGAAATTGCAAAAACTCCCCTTTCAGTCAGCAAACAGCGTTTGAAACATATCAGACATTCTTGGCATTAAAATCTTCTAGCTATAAGGGATTTATAAATGTCCATCTGAACATTCAAAGGGGAAAGGGCATTACTAATTATTCACAGAATATTCCTCATAAAGATAGAATGCTAAACCGGGCGTGATGGCGCACACCTGTAATTCCAGCACTCGGGAAGCTAAGGCAGGAGGATCACTTCGAGTTCGAGGCCAGCCTGGGCTACAAACTGAGTTCAAGGCCAGCCTGAAATGAATAGTAAGACCATGTCTCAAAAAAAAAAGAAAAAAAATAGGTGCTGTCTCAAAGATGTTAATAAAAGAATAGATAGTAAAGCAGGTTTTAGAACTTGGATAAGTGGAAAATACAAATATCTCAAAATTACCAAACCTAGTTCTATAAAAAATATATGCCACATGTGAAATTTTCAATATCTAACTTTTGCAGCATCAGTCTGCATAAATTCTCTGGTTCTGACACTGTTTTCATGACAACTGTGGGCAGACAGGGAGGACCAGGATGAGCTGTTAGTCCACTCTCTCTGTCATCATGGCTGGCTGCTCACAGGGCACTTGTATTACCTCGCTGTCCCTCCTGCTTCTGGCACCCAGTGTGGCTAGAGGTGATGAGAAAAAGCATTCAGGGGCCTCTCGAAGTCTTCCACATCATATCCCTGCATCGCTGTCAGTCTCCACCAGAGCAGGCACGTCCATCCTCCCTCTGGAACTTCCCTCACTCTCTAACCTCATGTGCCCCATCCTGGAGGACAAAACCTGCTCATCTCACATGGGGACAGAACACACATGTGCAGCAGCTAGGCCCCAGAGCTCACCCCAGTCATCACACCTCCTTCCTCATCTGTCCCTGTCCTTACCAGGGATCCAGAGCAGTAACAGCCTCAGGAGCTGAGTGGGGTCCCTCATTTAGAGAAGCTGAACTGAATAGTCTGAATAAATACAGCAAGATTATAACTGAGCTTTTACTTCAGACTTGTAGGGAAAGTCCTCCCTAGTGAGCACTATGCAAATCCCCTGGTGGGTGCAACAGTGTGTGAAGACCCAAGGGGACATGGCAACTGTCTGGTGAGCAATGTGACTGAGGGATCTTGCTCTTCTCTCCACCCTGCTCAAGTCCACCCCTTGGCAAGAAAATGCTGCAGTTTCTTCCACCTTGAGGTTAGTGACAGACACTACAGTTCTTGCACACTGAGCTGAGACTGGAAGTGCCTAGTTCCAACAAAGAACCACAGTTTTCCTGACCCTATCCAAGGCCCCAGTACTTTTACAAGAATAAACATATCTAGTTTGTTTAATTCCTTTAGCAAGGTTATAGCAGTGTCTCTTGTCTCTCTGTCTGTCTCTAGCTCTGTCTCTAGCTCTGTCTCTCTTGCATTCTCTCTCCCCTATCCACCCCATGTGGATGCGTATGTGACAACAGAGAGTATAACTCAAGCTCTATTATGGTCTAGATCTAATGTGTCCCCCTGAAATCTCATGTGTTCTCAGAGGGAGCTTTGACAGGTGAGGGAAACATGAGGTCTCTAACTCTACCCGAGGATTCATCCCCTGATGAGATAGTAATTTGATAGAATTATTGGGAGATTATAAAAAATTAGGAGCTGGGGCCTACCTGATGGAGGCATCACCCTGGGTACTATACTTCTGCCTTTCGCCCTTCTCTGGCTCTTGTCCTTTCTCTCCGCTCCCCGGCTGCTAGGAAGTGAGCAGCTTTCCTCTGCCGTGCTATAGGCTTAACAGCAATGGAGCCAGCTGACCCTAGACTGAAATCTTCAAACTTTAAACGGAAATAAATTTTTCATCCTTTAAGTTATTTTTTAGGTATTTGTAAAAGAGACAAAAATCCAAATAACATTGAATTCCAGAGGATTTTTGTTGAAGTTGGAAAGATATTTCTAACATATTTTTTCAAGCAACCAATAGCAGTCATCGTATTCCTCTAGACAATGAATAAAGCTGGAGTACTAACATGTAAACATCTATTGATGCCCTTAGACTAAGTGGATGGCCTTGAGCAACATTCAGCCTCTGTCTGAATTTTATACATCTCATCCCCACTGAATGGGCTGGTGAGAAGGACTAGATGTACGCTTTTTTTCTTTGCTTTTGTTTCACCTTTTAGGGAGTAAAACTGTCAACGTCTTCAATATATTCATAGAGATAAAAAAGACTTTGAGGAAAATTGTCCTTATTCTATGAATACTGCATGATTTGTTCCTTATCTTTAGATTGAAAGGGAACCACTATTATAGTACAATGTACTTTGAATAGTTTGGAACTTAAATACTTTCTGGGACAAACAAGGCCAGGGTGACTCAGGCATCCACGAGGTCACTAAGAATGCATGAACTTGTAAACTCTCAGACTGCTTACATTTAGTGACATTACACATATATATATAATTTATTATTATTGTTATTATTATTATTATGTATAATTTGATGAAACTAAAAATTTGGTAGGGTAAATCTCACATATGTGTAATGTAATTCATTTTCTTGGCTATTGTATTACCTTATTGTACTGGACATAAAATGTATATCTTATATGAGTCTGATGTGAAATCAATGGCAGGGAAATTGTTCCTGAAGATGGCTATGCAACTGACTCAGAAGAAAAGTCTGTCTTCAGTTGAAATCTTATCAGCAAGTTACTTTTCAGAATCATAAGATTTTCAGATTGAGGCAGAAATGTTAGGATTCAGCAGATACCACAGCAGCTGTCCATAAAGGAAACAGCTGGTATGAGCAAAACAATGACCAATGTCTCGGGGAGGTTTTTGTTTCACATTGAATCACTGTGGGAACCCACTACCATACTGTTGACAGTAATAAGTTGCAACATCTTCAGGCTCCAGGCTGCTGATGGTGAGAGTGAAGCCTGTCCCTGACCCACTGCCACTGAACCGGGCTGGGATGCCAGTGGCCCTGCTGGAGGCATCGTAGATGAGGAGCCTGGGAGCCTGGCCAGGTTTCTGCTGGTACCAGGCTAGGTAGCTGTAGACATTCTGACTGGCTGTGCAGCTGAGAGTGGCTGTTTCTCCTAGAGACAAAGCCAGGGAGGTTGGAGACTGGGTCAACAGGATTTGTCCAGTGGAATCTGAGATTGAAAAATAAAACAGAAATGTCATCCATGGACTCTAGGTCATACCAATTGCCTTCTCAGTAGAGCTAAACTCATTGATCTACATTACTGTGCTTATTGAACAGAGATGCTAGTACTGTACATAGGAGCCAACATTCAGTTTTCACAGTTATGCAAATCTATCCCACACAGCCCTCACCTTGGACCCAGAGTAACAGGAGACAGACGAGTTGAGCCAGAGCTTTCATGGTGCACGCTAGGTCCTCCCTGGTACAGATCTTCCCCAGAGCTCTGGCGCAGACAATGATATGGGCTCTGAAGAGCAGTGGGTGTTGGGAGGAGCATGCAAAGCAGCAGGAGCCAGATGAGCTGAGCTTGCAGCTGCGGAAA